CAATATACAAATTAAGGTGCTTGGTGATTCCTCATTATCAAACCTAGAGATATGGGGAAGAACCAAACCCAACTATGATCTTGATATGATTGAATTGATATGAGATGATAGAGGAATCTTAGGGAAAACAATTGGGGTGCAACAACTTCCCTTATTTAAGTGTCTTCTATTCGAAGATACGTAGGTTAAAATCTTTGTGTCGACGCGATTGAATATACTTAAATATAAAACATCCATATTTTTGTCCCTAACATACCATGCAATGCTTGTGATTGTGCATGCAAACAAACAGATCCAAAGGTGACACGGGGCACCACTGGGGAAACATAAAATAAAAGTTCAAAAGGAAATTAGACAAGGAAAATAAATCACTGGTGAACAGAAGACTCAATTCTATTGGGGAAAAACCCAAGGAGGAAATAAAGTAGCATCAATTCAAATATCGAGGAGAGAAAGTAAAGGATAATGGTGATCGACTGATAACTGGAAACTAACCACTCACTGAGAAGATAGCAAAAAGGTAATGTTGATCAACAGGGGGAAAGAAATGGTAGGATAATACCAGTAAAAATCCAATATTAAAAGCAAGCAACAAATGATTAGCATCAGTACTTATGACTGAAAACATACATATTCTTCAGAGCAAAGTGAGTCTCGATGACGAACTATCTCTCATTATGAAGAGACTACCATCCATCAGAGTAACAAATGTCAACAACAAACTATCTCCCATAATGACGAGACTACCATCCATCGGAGTAGAAAATCTCAACAACAAACTATCTCCCATAATGACGAGAGTACCATCCATTGGAGTAACAAATCTCAATAGTAACTATCTCCCATAATGACGTGACTACCATCCATCGGACTAATAATTCTCAACAACAAGCTATCTTCTATAATGACGAGACTACCATCCATTGGAGTAAAAACTCTCAACAATGAACTATCTCCCATAATGACGAGACTACTATCCATTGGAGTAACAAATATCAACAACGAACTATCTCCCATAATGACGAGACTAACATCCATTGGATTAACAAATCTCAACAAGGAACTATCTCTCATAATGACGAGACTACCATCCATTGGAGTAACAAAACTCAACAATGAACTATCTTCCATAATGACGAGAGTACCATCCATCGGAGTAACAAATCTCAATAATAAACTATCTCCAATAATGATGAGACTACCATCCATTGGAGTAACAAATCTCAACAACGAACTATCTCCCATAATGACGAGACTACCATCCATTGGAGTAACAAATCTCAACAATGAACTATCTCCCATAATGACGAGACTACCATCCATTGGAGCAAAAAATCTCAACAACTAACTATCTCCCATAATGATGAGACTACCATCCATTGGAGTAACAAAATCTCAACAATGAACTATCTCCCATAATGACGAGACTACTATTCATTGGAGTAACAAATCTCAACAACGACCTATCTCCGATAATGACGAGACTACCATCCATTGGTGTAACAAAATGAATCTTCTCTGGGAATTAACATACTTACTGGGGAAGTATAGGTGGCTAAAATAAAGAGACTTGCCACTTGTTGTTATAAGAAACCCTTCAGGCAAAGAAATATGACTTCTCTGGGGGAGTTTCAATATATTCATACCGAGGAGATAAAATCTTCCCGTGCAAAGTAAATGCACACACTCAATCCAGAGTTCGAAGCCTATGAAAATCAGAATAATAATGTTGTCGGGGACCACAGATTCAAACCAGAAATAAACCGGAGTGAAACAGTCAACCAAGATAGCATCTGATGACGAACAAACTCAAAAAGGAAACACAAAGCTAACTAGACAATGAGCTGATGTAGGAAGGCTTGAAGCAAAATTCTTCCACGGGGAAAACATAGTGGGGAAATTAAAAGGATATACACTTTCTTCTTAAGGTTGACACTCTATTGGAGATAGGGTAACATACTCTGCCAAATAGGGTAATATGTAAACAAAATATTAATGAATGTGAAACAACCGGCTGAACAATCAACTGATAATGAAATCAATAAAGTCGCCATCAAACATTTTTTATCCCACAGGAAGGGAAAGGTAAACATCGAGTAAATCTGAGAAGGGTGAAATCAAGGTCGAATAACCGAGGGATTGGGTAAGGGAGTTTGTTACCCGAGGGGAAGGTATTAGCACCCCACACACCCATAGTACTCTACGGTATCCAATCTTGTTATCTATCTTATGGGTGTGTTAGAGTCTAAATCTAAGTTGTACAGGGGATGCATGTAAAAGAAAGGAGAAAAGAATGTAGGGAAAATAAAAGTTGTGCTCGTTCGGACCCTAACCCAATGTCTACATATCCCTTTTAAGGAATCAGAGCAGCCATAGTTTGGCTCAAAATTTTTGTTTGTTTGTATTTTTTAATGAATAATATTAATTTCACCTTCTGCTGCAACTCGACCTTCGGAGAGTTACGTGTTAGCACAGAAGAAAATTAACGTGTTCTTTTGAAAATGTTTTGAAAGAAAATCCTGTAGGCAAAAGAGTTTGTGTTGGTTGGTGTTTTTGCTGTGGATAATGACTAATGATCTCAAGAGAGATATTTTAACCACTTTTCCATTTATTCATGAAATAAGTCTTTGAGACTTGAACCACACCAAGGCTTAGAATGGAAGAACAATAATATCGAGAAGAAACCCGCTTATCATTTCCCATGCTCAACAATGGTATGAATCTCATCAGTAATCTTTAAGTGTTTTGAAGTTTACAAGAAAAAGAAGTTTTTTGTTTTAATGCAAATGTAAAGGGGGAAAGAAAAATCTAAGGGGAGACTAACCTAAATCTATCTCTAATGTTATCATACAATGTTTGATCCTAAAATTTAGCTTTGAAGGGAAATCTCTACCCTAAGTTGACATGCTTGGATAACAATCCTAATGTCTATCTCAACTCATCTTCTATAGATGAATAAAGAAGTCCTAAAGAAGCATAGCAAGGGTTTATCACCTAAAACTATGTCTATATCAAATCATCATCCATAGATGAATCAAGAGCTCCTAAGGGAACATGCTGAGGGTGTATCATCTCAAAACATGTACACAAAGATGAAATCAAACAAGCAAGCCAATAAGTTCAAGAGAGCACACCTAGAGAGATTCTATATAGGTTAGCATGCCAAAGAAAGTCTAATAAAACTATCCTACGGGGAACATGCAATGAGATCGAAGTTGTGATCTTAATTCCTAAATTGAGTGACTCATCGATCAACAACCAAGGAAAGCGATAAAATCCTATAGGGAGTATGCACTGAGAGCGAAGTTGTGATCTCAATTTCTAAATTGAGTGACTCATCAATCAACAAACAAGGAAACAAACACAGACATAACACATATAGCAAATGAAGTGCAGAATGCCCGCTACAGGTATTTAAACAGCGACTTCGAGCGCACCCTCTTTATTTCCTGCTTCTCATGATATCTAACAAGCAGTAAAGTGCGAAATGAGATAAAAAAAGAAAATACAAAACAGATATCAATCCGTAGCAAAGTGTATCAAAACAAAGAAACCCAGAAAACTTCGAGTAAGCTTTGACAAGCAAAGAAAAGAGTCAAAAATCAAATTCCCAAAATAAGCTTTGACAAGCAAAGAAAAGAGTCAAAAATCAAATTCCCAAAATAAGCTTCGAAATGTCATTGATATGAAAATAAATCACAATCGGAAACTCAAGCATATTCGTATATCACACAATAAACCTGCATAAGACTCAAATATTAACAAGCAAAGGTGAATCACAAGATTGGGATAAATGATTACTAAATATAATCGATAATAGAAAATTCTAAACAAAATTCTAAAAGAAGTTCTAGAAAGATTCTACAATACTCTACTATTTTTTATTCATACATTTTTATCAATAAAAACTATTGAAATTATTGGTGCGACTAGCAAATAGGAGCTAAAGGCCCATTAACTTAGTCCAAACAATTATTTCTGCTTACAACATCATACTGCCAAAAATTGCATATTGGGCTCCATCTTGGGTGGTGTTTCGGTCCAGTTCCCATACTCTCCAAAAAAATAAACCAATTCCAACAAACTTCAGATCAATTCACATTTTTTTACTACAGAATAAAAATAAAGAGGAAATAAACAAATTTAAATGATGGAACAAAAATTGCGAGGAAACTTAGGGTTAACGCTGTGACGGTTCAGTTTTTTACCTTCTTCTCCGTTCAAACCAAACACAGTGTTATCAAGTTTTTCTCCGCCTCCATATTTCTCAGTCCGACGACTACAAGCATACATCCATCAACCCTCCTCCTTATTTTCCATCGCTTATACCTTCCCCTCGCTTCGCTCACAACTCCGATCAAACATCAACATCTGGCCATCATGAAAGACCGTCTCGTCTCTCTGAATTCATCTCCGTCTTGATTCGCGAATAAGATTCCTCGACTTCTCCTTTGACCGGCTTACAGCGGATTCAAGGCATGATTTGTTAGGTCTTTTTTTTATCCTATTATGATCTACGACATCACATCAATAACACGATAAAAACACCAGAGGAATCATATCTTTGATGATGAAGATGAACGAAGAAGAGCTGCAAACGCATGTACGTTCTCAAGATCTGTTTTCTTCTACGTCTTCTTTTGAACGCGAATTACTTACGCGTTTTTGAATTGGTTGTTGCATTTTGCGTTTGTGGTAATCCGTTGTTGATAACAGGTGGAGATTGGCGATGAAGATTCTTTGAAATTATTTGTTGAAGAATCACAAAGGATTCAATAATTGCACATGAAGATGCGTAAAGACTGTGTTGAGAAATTGGGGAGTTATGAAGATTGAAAGAGCTTCAATGGAGGATTCTTCAAAGGATGAATAATGGTGAAATGGTTCGTGAGAATGATGAGGAATAAAAATGGAGGGGAAAGTGAAGGTTAAAGATGAAGATGGTTATGGAGAGAGATCAGAGAGAAGTTTGAAGGATGTTTTTCTGTGAACTGTGAAAAATGATAAAGACGAAGGTGAGAGGAGGAGAGAAAGTTTCTGTGATGGAGATTCCTCTGCAGAATGGTGAAGCCCCCTCTGATAAATCTGGTGAGTCTCCTCTATATTCTGTTAGAGTTGTTAGAAGTTAGTTAGGAATTGGTTAGAGTTGGTTAGGGGTGAGGGTTAGTTAGTTAATTTTTTAAATTATGTTAGAGAGTTTGATTCTTTTCTCTGAATTTTGTTACCAAGGATCCAACCATAACCCTCAGATCTTAGAAGCTTATTATAAAAGAAGCAGGTGAGATGGATTTGATAGAAGTTAGTTATATGTCTTTGAATTCAGTGATAGACAGTTAGGATGAGCTGGGAGTCTATTTTGTTATTGAGTTAGTCTGGTAAAAAAACATTCTGTTAGAAAGTTAGTTACTGTGTTAGAATTCAATTGAAATCTGAAATTATTGAGTTAGTCTGGTAAAAAAACATTCTGTTAGAAAGTTAGTTACTGTGTTAGAATTCAATTGAAATCTGAAACTCTGCTATGAGTTGTGAGATGAACCTTGTCTGTCACGCTTCTAATAACTTCCCTTTTTATTTTTTTATTTAATTTTCCTCCTGTTTTTGTGCGGGTTATTTGAATTGGTTTAATTATTTGGATTTCTGCAGGATGGCTTTGGTTCCGGATTTTGAAGCGGATATTTTCTCCTGCTGTGAATAGACATTGGCGTGTAGGTATGATTTTGTGGTGATTGTAGTTAGTTTTCTGAATTGCCTTTTTGTATTGGCTTGGCTTAGATATTTGTTTTTTTATGTACAGGATGTCATGTCATGATGAAGGTAATATTGCAGGCCTGGTGCATAATTAATGGTTGAATAATACAAGAAGCCGCTGCAGGTTCATGACATGGTTGGAATTTCTCGGTAACACATCTTTAGCTTTATTTTTGAATTTTGTCATAACCTGAGCTTAATGACCTTACGGGAACATGAAAGGGAAGAAATGCACATTAATTCCTTTGTGTTCTGCAGGTTTGAGCATGGTGCATGAGATGCTTATGGCGTACAAGCAGGCCCATCTGTTAATTGACCATCGGAGCTTTGAGGGAATCATGGAAATCGGTAGAAGAATAAAAATTAGGAATAGGTTTAGGAGAAAAAAAAACATAGGTTTAAATCTTAGTAAACTTTTGTGTATTTTTGGTATGATGTAATGTATTGGAACCTTGAATAGACTTGAATGGAAAATTGAATTTTAACCATGAATGATAACGGATATTTGTAAAAAATGATGAAGATTTGTACTTGAAACTTGGAATTTTGATGACTAGGATGTCTTTTGTAACTTTGGTGTAATGACTTGAATTTGTAATGAACAAAACTTTGTAAATTCTTGCATGACAAATTTCTAATTATTCAAAACATTTCTCTCATTCAATTTGAGCTTCAATGGATACTTGAATTAAATTGAGACAACCATGATAAACACTCGAATGTTATTGAATGAATCTTTTTATCTTTTACCTTGGGATGAACAATGATGTGGAATAATCTTGAAAATAACAACTTGAAGCATGAAGAAATTTACTTGATACCATGCACTTTAATATCAACTTATGTTCATATTCCATCTTTCCCCACAAGAACTTATGAACTAAACCTCTGGGCACGCTATTTTTTGAATCAGGTTGAACCTTAATCCATGTTTGAAACCAAATTTATTGAACAAATATCCAAATGATAACTTGTACCAATTATTCGTAATGCCTTGACTGTAAAGCAAACAAACTTATCATACAAAATATCTTGAATCATGACGTACCCAACCCTAATTGATTGACTTATGGATAGATGAACTCAATGCAATAATGATATAGTCAGCAACCTGTAGCCCAAGTATCACATGCGTCTTGGATTGATAACAAATCTTGATCCTTTATAAAAATATTAATATACCTCTAGTATTGACAAAACCTTGACCAAATGATAAGCACAATAATAGAATGAGGTGTCTTGATTCAAAGATCATGTACGCGAGATCACAACCTTAAGTTATTGACAAGAATATGCTGCAACCTGTTGTTCATCAGAAGATAATAGCCTTGTAGCTTGATGGAGTGTAAGATGGATGAACTCGTAAATTTTCCTATTCACAAAGACTTTGATCCACACATCTTGAATTGATGAAAGTTCAATGCAATGAGTCTTGTCTCAAGTGATAAACTCTAACATAACCATAAGAAAATAAACCTTGATTCATAGACTTCCAGGAAAGTCTTACATCTAATTGTTCATCCTTGAATAAACCACTGGATTGTAATTAGAAGGGACCTCAGATAAAAACCAAGCCAATCCCAAAAAACAAAGGAATAGAAAGCCTAATTCCTTTACTCTTGATGGTCCATGATGGAGAATAGCCTTGGATCTTGATGGAGAGGAAGTTCGAACTGAACATGAACCAAAACCCTAATTCCCACAGTCTTGTACACCAAGAAGAAACAAAATTATTCAACATATACACCTCAAATCAGCTGTAAACCCTAGCTTCATAACTACTGATTTTTTGAACCTCAGGTGCTCTATTTTTATGAAAATGCGTGCTATGCACATGACCTATTGGAATGATGCAGATGAATGCATAGTCTAAGCCAGATAAAAGTATCAATTAAGAGGGAAAATTTTGGGGTGCAACAGAATGCAGATGAGCAATGAATTTTGAATTCAACTATGCATGATGTATGTATGAATGTATGAATGTTATCATGTATATGCTGACAACACAGACACACAAACCCTAGGAATAAACAGACAAAACCAGCTTGGGTAAAGTCAACACTCGGCTAAATCACATCCAGGAGGAATATTTCACAAGAAAGTAAGCACCAACTGAGGAAAAAAATTCCTATTTCGTGGCTTAACTTCACTGGGAAGAAACATAATCCAAAAATAATAAATTTTGAATAGTGAATCAAGACAGATACAAGGATATAACATCCTCCTCCAGACTTCACCGGGGGACGTCACACAGACTTCAATGGGGAAAACAATACTTCAACGTCTAGACTTCCATTGGGGATTACAATATTGACTTCATTAGGGCAGATGAAAACCATGCCATCAAGATATCAGCTGGGGATCCCGTGTTGACTTCATTGGGGAGGATAATACAATATTGTTGAGAGGAGTCTAAACTACATTCTTCAATACCAAGAGTGATGATTACACAAACTTCTTTGGGGAGAAATCAAGAAACCACATGGGGATAATAACTTTCAGAGAAAAACATTATCTTAGCTTTACTTGGGGATTTAAGATGTCAAACAATACAACAAGAAATCAAAATCATGTGGATTTTAAATCGAACTCAATGTTTGGCGGGAGAAAACCCAAAAAGTTGACACCTGTTTCAACACTTCTTATAAAAGATATTGCCCTTGTCTAGCTGCCAAACAACAACAATAATGCCAATACTGCAAAAGGGAAATGTTTTGCAAATGACTCCACCTCACCACACAAAGGGAGAAGAAACTTCCGTCATATGAGTGAAGACCTCACTGGGGGAATCTAGGATAGAGTTTTCAAACCATACAAACCTGAAACCAAAATTATCAACCGAGAGGAAAAACTGAACCAAGACCCGATTGGGGAAAATGGGATCACAAATCCAACACCGCATCATACATCAATTGGTATCATCTCCAACTATTTGATAAACAACAAGAAGATCATACGCATATCAGCGAAAGAGACCTGAGATAACTTTCTTGGGGAATACCTACTTCCACAAAAACATAGTTCGTCCACCCTCAGAATCACTATTTTTTTTGTTTTTTTCTTGAATCACAAAATCTAAAGTAAAATGCAATTTGTAAATTCTTTTCAAAAACAATTTTATTATTAAATTTCTTTGTTTTGAAAATTACCATCAATAATAAATGGAGTCTTTGTAGGCAGAATAAAATAAGAATTGTAAAGAATTAGATAAAAGCTAACTTTATTAATAGAATGGTAGCATGTGAATGGCGAGACTCCATAAATGATTACAAAGTTTGGAAAATGGTAATACATTGGAAAAGATACATTGAAACACAATGATCACTATTCTCCCTAACAACTTTGAATTCCTGAGAAGCGACTTCTGTTGAAGTATGGTGAGAGTCAAGAAGATTATTACTTCAATGATTAAGTCTTGTCTGACACAATTACTTGCTAAGAAATCCCTAACTTTTGCCTAGGTTGCCCTTGCGGGTTTTCAACCTAGCGGGAGAATTTATTCTATTTGTGTCTCTTATTTTTTCCTAGACCTCCCTTTCTAGTTTTTAGCCTACCGAGACACTCCTTTTTTCCTGAGCCGCCCTTTCGTGTTTTTGACTCAGCGAGCTGCTCTTTTATTTCTTTAGGCACAGTATTTCTTGATTGCATCAACATTCATAGGACCTGGGAACTCCTTGCCATCCATAGTTTCAAGAATCAATGCACCACCAGAGAAGGCTTTCTTGATTACATATGGGCCTTTATAACTTGGAGTCCACTTGCCCCTAGAATCAGCGTTAAAAGACATGATCTTCCTGAGCATGGGTCGCCTTCTTTGAATTCACGAGTTTGATGCGGTGGGAGAATTGACTTGATGGTTTTGCGTTTTATCGCAAATGTCTCGGTTAGCAAGAGTCACCACCGACTTTTCTTTTATCCAAAAGGAAAGGTGAAAAAGCACAGGAAAGACCTTTGAGATTGTTTCTTGAGTTCGGGGGGTAGATCATGAAAAGGGAAGGTATTATCACCCTTTTCATTCATGGTTTTCCATGGCCTCTTAGTTACTTGCTAGATCACTTGCTTTTGTTTGAAGTTGTGTTTTGTGTGGTTTTGAAAGTGTTTTGTAAAAGAGGCCACTGTTTAGGCAATCTTTGTAATGATTCTTGTTCGTAAGAATGTGTACAAAGATGTTTGTCTTTTGGAAAATGTTTTCAATTTTGTAAGATGTTTGGAAATGTGTATGTTTGTTTTGAAAATTGAAAGGATATTTGTTTTGAAATGGAGAAAGTAACTAAAATTAATATACCTACTCAAATGTCTTTCTTGTTCATTTTCTTTTCCTTTGATATTGTTGTCTTACCATTGATTTGGTAAGCAACCTTATCTTTGGATGTAAACGAGACAGACGTGGGTCATTGTATAGCCATGATTAGCAATATTGCAAGGTATCTTAGCATTCTTTTTTTAGGGACTAAGATCATTTTTGTAAGGCAACTTTGGATAGCGTCATCGAGGGACTATGAACTTGTATTTGCTTATTTTTGCAAAGATACCTTACATGCATAATATGGTCATTTTTATATAAGGCAACCAAGTGGAGTAACCCTAAGTTTGTTTTGTGTGAAAGTGTGTCATTTTCATGCTTGATTTTGTCTTGGATTAGGGTTTTCTATTTGGTTGGTTATATCTTGCCATACAAACCATAATTACTAGCATGTTATATAAAAGCGATAAATTGTGAAAATGTCCTACGCTATTACAACATTGGTGGGAGGGGGAATACAATTTATGAATGGGGATTTGCAATAATATAAACCTAATTAAACTATTACAACCAAATTAAATATGTACAAATATTGGAATAAATAATATACAAGATAAATTAAATATGCAAAGATGTATGAATGTAAAGAAGATTTTGTTTGGTTTTTTTTATGTGAAAAAGTTTTAATCTAAACCTATTGAATAAATCAAGATTAAACTCAAATTAATTAGGAAAGGAAATTATCTTTAGAAAGGATTTTGATTAAACCCTAATTCTATTTTATCAAAAGGGAATAAATTTGTTTGAGGAAAAATAAGTTTTTTTGCATTTTTTGTCTTGAAAAATAATATATGGTATT